GGGGCAGGTGCGGAGAGCCCCGCTGGGGTCCGCCTTTCCGCGCGTCCCGCGGGCTCCCCCCGTCCGCGGATGTCTCGGTCCAGGCCTGCCCCCGCCCCCAGCGCAAGGGGCACAGTGGGAAACAGCCCTGCTGAGCGGAGCTCGGCGATAGGCTTCTTTTATTTTCCTTTGGATAAAGGATCCGCTGAGCCTGGAAAACCTGGATGCCAGAAAGGGTGGTCTGATCTCCGCAGAGGTCTGAGGCCAGAGGGGAGGAGAAGCCCAAACACCCCTCGTCACCGGCACACCCCCTACAAGGCCCCCAAGTTTTGTCTGATCGCTCTCACTTTCATTTCCCCCCCGACCCCCGACTCTCGCCACGGGAAGAAGTTTCTCCGAGTGGGCTCTGCGGCGTGACATTCCCGAGGAAGTCATTTCAGGGCTCCCCGCAGACGCTAAGCCCCCTTAGCTCGCGCCCCTCCTTCCCCAGAGTAACAGCGCCCATGCTGCTCCGCAGCTCTCCGGCCGGGACCTCGATGTCTGAGAGCACCCTTAGAAGCCATCTCTGGTTTAGCACCCTCTTTCCCACCGTCTTCCTCCTCTGTTCACCTCATGCAGCACCTGCCCACGGCTCCCCGAAGACGGTGGTTTGGGGAGAGGTTAGCCTGCAGAGGCCGGGGAGGCCCACCCAGCTCTGACCTGGGGGAGGGGAGCTCCTGAAACAATGGGGAAATGCCGTAGGAACCGCCAGGCTCCAAAGCCCCTTTCAGCCCCAACCCGGTGAATGCCTGGGAATGACTCACACCAGCCTGTTCACCTCCACCGAGGCCGGTTCCCACACAGTGAGGGTAAGTAGGGATAGGATGCCTCTGGAGCCAGGTACCCTGCATTCCATTTCTTCCTGTGAAAGGGTTTCTTTCCCTCTTCCCGAAATCTTTTACCTTACATGCAAGAAGTAACCACAGGGCCTTGGTTTTGTGAACATCATCATGTTTTGTGGACTGAACATCAGTAAAGACACTTCTTCTTTTTGATAGTATTGAGAGTTGAACCCAGAACTTTCACACTGACCCAGCTCCCACTACCTCCTTTTATTTTGCAACCAGGTCTCAGTAAATCCCTAAATTGCCCAGGCTGGGGTCAAATTTATAATTCTGCCTGATCCTCCTGAGTGCTGGGGTTACAGGTGGGCACCACACTGTGCTGTTGTTAACTCAGTTCTGTTTTTGCCTGAGTGGTAAACTGAGGCAGGGTGGTCAGTCACACCAGTTTCCTTTTGCCACCATTTCCTTTTGTATAAACTGTTAGACTAACGCAGTCTGCACAGTCTTCCGCAGAATATTGTAGAAACAAAATTGAAAACGTTTTGACAAATAATATGAATATATGATTGTTTTTTTAAGTCTGAATGGTCCTAAGTATTACTGATTAGAAAATTTATATTATGAATAGTAAAATAATCAAAGTAACCTTAAATACAGAAACATTAAAGATTTAATGTTTTTCATGTTGTTTGTTAATCTTACTAATTTGTTTCTTTCCTTCTTCCTTTTTTTTTTTTTGGCAGTACTGGGGTTTGAATCCAGGGCCTTTGCACTGAGCTATATCTACAGCCCTTCTTATTTATTTATTTTTGAGACAAGCCCTCACTAAATCCCCAAATTGCCCACACTGAATTTGAATTTATGATCCTCCTGCCTCAGCCTCCCAGAGTGCTGGGATTACAGCATGTGGCAGTGTGTCTGGCTTTTTTTTCTCCTCCTGGGTATTGAATTTAGGACCTCACACTGCTGGGCAGATCATTTACCACTGAGCTCTAACCACAGCCCTGATCTTACTAATTTCTGAGGTAAGATGTTGCTGGTATCATTGATATATGTCAAGGCTAAGCAGTCTTGGAGGAGGGCTGGCACAACCGAATGAAAGTATTAGTAATGACAACTTTACTTTCAACATAAATTTTGCCTGTCTTTATAAACCAAAAACATCTTATTGAATTATATTTTGAAACTTTCAGATAATCTTAAGGATTTTAGCATTGTGAATCTCATTTCTGACACAGATGGGCTCTGTGCTTCTAGGCCCTTACAAATGGGTGAGGGGGTATGTTTTAATGATGGAGGTCCTTGTGATAAGGAAAGGGAAGCCGCAGAGGGTCACTGGCTTTCCCAGGCTCACGCTGTAACTCAGGAAAGCGAGCACTCACATTGTGGAGTCTTCTCCAGGGCTTCTGAAGCACATCAATGTTGTGTGGCTTCCCTAGTGCTACAGAAAAGGGCGCTGCGTGGCTTCTGCCTGCCATTTGCTCTCTGGCCTCAGTAAGGGAGAAGGAATCAGATGGAGACTTTCTACTGAGCATTTGTTAATTAGCAGGGAACATTTGATATCCAGTTGCTGTTTTGTCAAGTCTCCTGACAAGAAAAGAAATCCTTTCCTTTTCATCTTCTCCTGGGAAACACTGTCCCCTTTCTTGCTCTTTAATGAAACGTGCTTTCTGGTGCGTAATTGGATCTGCACTCTTCTTTAAGGTAAATTTAGTCCCTGGTGAAAGGTGAGGGATCAACAGCCACCTGTAAGAGGAGCCCTCCACTTCTCAGCACTTTACACTCACTGCCTATGCTGAAAGGGGGGGCAGGATTCTTATGCAGACAGGAATAAAGTCACAAACACAGGAACAAACTAAGCTGGTAATGCGCCCCTAGATAGCAGATAAGGGGTGAAGTAAGCTCTCCTGGGTCACATGCAAAGTCTGGGGTGGATACAGGACTAAGACCTGAACATGTTTGTTTAAATTCACAAAGAGTTGAAATGACAAAGAAAAAGAAAATGGTAGCTTTCCCTCTGGATCTAGTGCTTCATCAAATTGCTACTTCAGGCTGGAGACACAGTGGTTGGAGAAACCAAATAGAAAACTAGAGGTGGGTCCAAATGCAGCAGTGGTAGGGTGGTATATTTGAACAGTGGCTCCCAAACTTTGCTGTCTGCTAGGATTACCCCTAGAGCTTTAAAAAATTCTGATGTTCTGGCTGGGGAGGATGTAGTTTAGTGGTAGACTGTTTTTCTTGTATGCAGGAGTCCAGGGTCTACTAATCCCTAGCATTATTAAAAAAAAATTCTGATGTTTCAGGCAGAAGAGGTAGCTCAATAGTAAAGCACTTGCTTTACCTGGGTCTAACTCCCAGCACAAAAAACCAAACCAAACAAACAACAAAAATACACTGTAGTCCCAGCACTCAGGAGGCTGAGGCAGGAGGATTGCTGTGAGTTTGAGGCCAGCCTGGGTTACAAAGTGAGTTCAAGGCCAGCCTGAACTGCACAGTGAAACCCTGTCTCAAAAAAGACAAAAATACACACAATGTGTAACCAAGGATGAAAACAGCAGTATCAGAGGGTTGTCCTTCCCATCAGACCTCCCACCCTGCTCCTCACAAATCTTACCCGAGCTAAACCTGGCCAAATTGGGACAGAAGCAGGAGACCTCAGTGCTCAGGGCTGAATCTTCCCACTGGGCTCCCCCTCTGTTCAGCCTGCAGTCGTGCTTTAGCTCTCTTGCACCCTTTCCTGGTGAAAAATCTGCTTCCTTGAATAGATTTTGATATCGTTCACATCTGTGCATTCAAACAACCGCGTGTACTGCTTTTCCAGTGAATGTACACCTTTAGCATGTTTAAAAGTGCAAGGGGACAGCTCAGCCGTGTTTCTGAGTGTAAGAGAAGCACAGAGGAAACAGCACACTATGCAAGGAAGTCAGGAGGAACTGAAGGCGACAGCCAGCCCTCAGCACCCTATGCCGGCCCCTGCCGGAGCTTATTCGTTGCTAACGCGGGACCAGCACTAAATAAAATGTAAATGAACTGATTTTCTAACTGCTGTTAAACTTGTTAGAATATCCCAGCTTCTCTTCCTCCCTTCTCTCCCCTCAGTGTGCACACGCCATCCTTTGCCAAACCAGACTAACGCAGCCAGAGCACTAATGCATCTACGGCCTGTGCAGCACAGTAGACACAGAGGCATAAAGATTTGCATCATACCTGTTGCTAAGTGAGAAAGAATATTTATTTCCAGAAAAGGACTTAGGTCAAACATTAATAAAGGTCTTTGGACTTTTCAAAAAATAAAATAAATACAAAGACTCAGCTAGGTGTAGGGGTAATTCCAGCACTCTGGGAGGCTGAGGCAGGAGGGTTGTAATTTAGAGCCCATCATGGGCAATTTATCAATTTAGACTGTTTCAAAAGGGTGTGGGGCAGGGTAAGGATGTAGTCCAGCACAAAGGCCCTGGGTTCAACCCCCAGGAGTAGGTTGTGGGGAGAAAAAAGAAAAAAGATTTAGACCTGAGTTATAGCCCCAGCCCTTTTTCATCTCTGTGATCTTGGGAACCTTTCTTAATCTCTGTAAGGCTACGACTTCTTTAAAGTTGGGGGTACACGCTGGGTGTGGTGGTGCTCACCTGTAATGCCAGCTGCTCCAGAAGGCTTAGGCAGGAAGAACGCAAGTTTGAGCTATTCTGGGCTACTTAGTGAGAGACCCTGTCTCAAAAAATAAAAAAGGATGGGGATGTTGTTCAGTGGTAGAATGCCCCTTGGTTCAATCCCCAGTACTCTGGGAGGCTGAGGCGGGAGGGTTGCAATTTAGAGCCCACCCTGGGCAATTTATCAACTTAGACTGTGGGGGTACAGTCACAAAAAAGTGGGGGTACAGCCACAAAAGGAATAAAATTCTGATAGCTGGGCATGGTGGCGCACACCTCTAATTCTAGCACTTGAGAGACCGAAGTAGGAGGATTACTCTTGAGTTCCAGGCCAGCCTGGGCTACATAGTGAGTTCAAGGATAGCCTGAACTACACAGCAAGACCCTGTCTCAAAAAATGAGAAAGAAAAAAAAATCCAATCTTTGAAAATATGCTAAGTGACACAAAAGGACAAATAATATATGATTCATTTATATAAGGTACCTAGGATTAGTGAGTTCATAGAGACATGAAAATAGAATGTGGGAAAGGGAAAACGGGAATTTGTTGTCTAAAGGGTATAGAATTTCTGTTTGTTGCTGAAGAAGTTCTGGAAATAGAGGGCAATGACTAGGAGCACGGTGAATGCTCCTGAGCTGCACACTTAGAAATGGTCAACACTGTCAGTTGTGTTATGCATTTCTTACTACCATAAAAGTTTTACTTTTTCTTAAACCTTGGGTGGGTAAGCCAGGAGGAGTGTGAACATCTGTAATCCCAGCAATATGAAGGAGGAGGAGGAGGAGGATGGGGGTGCGTAGAGGGATATGAACAGGGGAATTAAAGGAACGAGAGAAAATGTAAAAATGGCTAGCACTGTACCTGGACATACCACTAGCACCAGCCATGAATGTTACTGTTTGATGGGAAGGTTGCAGGGTCGAAGAGCCTGAAGGTCTCGTCTGGATTGGGAACCACATTTCCTACTTTCTTATCAGTGTCCTATCTAGGCCTGAGTTGCTTTCTGTCTACCCAGAAACGTGTTCTTCTCACCCCTGCTCTGGGAAGAGGATGGCACGTACGGGTGAATTTGCCCAGGGCTGCACATCTGTGTGTTACTAACGGGTGTGAAGAGGACGGAGCCTGAGATCTATTTGTGCCTTCTTTCCCCTTTTGCTGTTTTTGTTGTCTGCCAGCTTCCATCTAAAGTACTCCTTTTCTCCCTTCAGATCTGTTTGGCTGTGTCCTGGTTTCTCCTTCTCACTAAATATCTGGGTTTCTGATCGTTTCCTTTATTTCCCAGATGTACTAGTTTGCATTTCCCCCAGTTACATCCCTTATGTTCTCTAATTCAGATTTCTAGACTCTGTAGGGGAGAGCGATTTTCCCCCCTCACCAGAGTTTTTAAGTAAATAGACTATTTCCTGCTCATCACTTATGTGCAGTAACTGTTCTGTTAGGTTTTGGTGTTGTGGTCAGGAAGTTGAGCAAAAACAGAGCTGGAAAACAGGTTTTCCAGACTGTCTCCTGGTGCTGTGGTAGGTCAGTGCAAATAGTAGTCTTTAAAATGTGCAACAGCTGGGGGTGGTGGCGCAAGCCTGTAATCCCAGCACTCGGGAGGCTGAGGCAGGAGGATCGTTGGGAGCTCGAGGCCAGCCTGGGCTACAAAGTGAGCTCAATGCCAGCCTGAACTGCATAGTGAGACCCTGTCTCAAAAAGACAAAAAATAAATACATAAAATGTGCAACAAAAGCTCGGCACTTGCTTTTCATATATGGTAAACATTGCTTAAAATGAGGCTCAAAACTCCTGAGAACATTGGTGAGACCCTAGGCTACTGAATAAATGTCTGCTGATGGTAATGACAGTGGCCATAGTGTCAAATAAGAACTCCCACTGCCCCTCCTCCTTTTCTGTGCTGAGAATTGAACCCAGGGCCTCCTGTAGACTAAGCAAGTGCGCTACCACTGAGCTACATCCAAGCCCCTTCCTACTTAATTTGGGGCCATGCTCTGTAATAGAATAAAAGTCAGAAGCTGATCAAGTAACTGTCAAGAGTTCTGTGTAAAGCATAACCCAGGGCCTCATTCAGGCTAGGCAAGCATTCTGCCATCAACTCACACCCACATCCCTTACATAGATCTTATCTATAAAAAGGAGGGAGTAGTTGTTATGTCTATAAGCCTATAAGAGCAGGAAGAAATTTTAGATAGCCGCCACAAATTGTAGATGAGACTGAACGAAACTTAAGGTCGTGGAAGTAGCCTAGGTCTTTACTTTCCAAGGAATTCTGATCAGAAACTCCTTAGCCGTTCTTAGGGTAGAGCTCAACGTGGTTACTCGTGCTTTCTGGCTCCTTGCATTTGCTTTTGCCCTGCATAACTCACAGGCAAGATTTCACCTGAAATTCGTTGCTTCTACTGGATTGAAGCCTTTATTGTTTCTATGGCAACAGTTTTGTAGTGGCATCCCCTTGTGTCTGTACCCCTACCCCAAGCGGCCATATCCCCAAGAGGGAGCTATGTTTCAAAAGGCCTGGAAATCCATTGGGGCAGCTGCTAAAGATACCTTTTGACTGCCTCACAGAAGATATTTCCTCAGCTGGGGCATGGGGACCGGGTGAGCAGATGGAAGGAAGGAAAGGAGATTTCTTTTGGGACTGGGGGTGGGTGTTCAGCATATTTCCACAATTGAGCCAGCAGGGGAGCAGGACTGTGAGGCAGCTCTGCAGCTCTAGGGGAAGTCTCCTGTAGCGCGCACACCGGAGGAAACATCCGGCCTATAGCAGCATTAAGGAGGGTTAATGTGTCTCGAGAGAGAAGGATGCTGCCACTGCAGAACCTCTAAAGATGGCGCAGGGGGACGACAGTAAAGCAGTGGCTCAGGAGGAGGTATCCTACTCCAAACTTAACACATCTGTTGAGGCTGTTTGTTGCACTTGGAGTCCTGAACTGACCTGAAGTTATTTTTTTCACAATGGGTAGAAAAGCAAGTTTAATATGTAGTGATTAGTTTCAATCACTACATATGCACTATCCTAGAGATTTCCACAGCACACGTCTCAGAGAGAGATGCTAGAGTTTGCCAAGAAGCTCCTGAGTGCCCATCTCAGCACCTGCAGGAAGCGCTGCAGCATCCCCATACAGCAGTGTGAGCGCTGCGCAGGGCACTAAGGAGTGAGGTGCTTTATCGCATGCAGTAAACTCTTATTTATGGCTGGTATTTTCCCTAAGGCTTCACACACAATTAACTCATTTCAGTTCTCACACCCTGGTGAAGTAACTAGTATACTCATCTCTGCTTTACAGAGGAGGAAACTGAGGCAGGCAGGCAAAGTGGTGGAGTCCGGATCTGGCTAGAAGCCAATCCTGCAAATCTCTATCTGATCACTTGTGTTTAACCCTATGCTGTGTTACTGTGAGTATCAACTGTTTGCTAAGTAAATAGTTGGTCCCTGAGCCAAGACTTCTAGACTTTCACATGCCCACAGGTAGCCATGCCCCTGATGAGTACGTCCAAAGCCTGCTTGATGCTGAGGAGTACCTGGGCACTCGCAGAAGACAGAGTCCTAGACCCCAGTTTGATCTACTCACAAGCAAGTTTGCCAAAGCCCGATTTACTGGAATAAGTGACACCATCCCGGAGCACCTGGAAACCTAAATTCTTGTCCTGAGGCTGCCTCTTTATGTCTCTGAGGCTTTGGACAATGTCACTTCCTTATGTCTTCCCCACTCTATTAGATATCTGCCCTTCATTTACTTGAGCTTACAAGAGTGCTTACAGTTTTGGGGCTGGGGATTTAGCTCAGCTGCACAACGCCCGCCTGGCCTGGCAGGCGCAAGGTCGTGAGTTCGATTCTCAGTAAGGGGGCGGGGAGCGCGGGGGGTGGGTGGACGAGAGTGCTTACAGTTTTCCCTCTCATAAAGTCTGGCCAGGTGTGGTGGGACAGGCCTATAATCGCAGAACTCTGGAGGCTGAGGCAGGAGGATCCTTGCAAGTTCGAGACCAGCCTGGGCTACAAAGTTAGCTCAAGGCCACCCTGAACTACATAGTGAGACCCTGTCCCATAAAGACAAAAATAAAAGAAAGTCTGTTGCTTAAAAAGCATACACAGTAATGTCCTTGTAAAATGATATGCATATATTAACAGTTCTGTTAACTTGCACTGTTTTTTTTAGCTTGACCTCCCTGGAAACAAACCTAAACTCCTCCCGCAGACCGTCCTGCAGCTTCCCCTGCAGAGGACAGGATCGGCACCCCAGCCGCCGTGTTCTGACCGACATTAGCTCTCTCCCTCTGGGAGCTCTGATCCGCTCTCAGCTCAGCCCAACAATGAGAAACTTCTTTCTCTTCTCCCTCAGGGGAACCTTCACGTTTTCCAATTCATTCTCCTGCAACCCAACTCTCCAGAAAGAAGAGGGGGGAGAATCCCACCCCTGAGAGACTGGTCTTCAGGTCTGAGGACGTTTCCTAGCAACGGCACAAAGACCTGCGAGCAAAGGGGGACCTGGGGAGAAAACTCTCGGGTGGGGATACCGAGCCAGTTTGAAAACTCCATTTCATCCAGAGGGAAACAAGGGAAACACAAACAGAGCGAGTCCCGGGAAGCCGAGGGGGGCTCCCCCCGGCGCACCCGCGTCCCGGCGTCCGCCTCCTTCGCCTGGCAGCGCCTGCTCTCCCCCGCCCGGGCCCGCCGCGGCCCCGTGCCCTCCCCCGGGCCCGGCTGACCCCGCCGGGACTCCGGCCCCTCCCCGGCACCCACCGTTCTCAGACGCGCTGGGACCTTCACAGTCCGAGATCAGCTGCTGAGGTTTCCGCTGCTTTCGCCGAGACATTCCCGGGAGGAGAGGGGCAGGGAGGGGCGACGCTCACTTGTCTCCGCCGGGGTGACCTGGTCCCGGCTCCCCCTTGGGTCTGAAGCCAGCGGATGCCTCTTCCCCCAGTGCAAATCACTGTGCGGAGAGACGTTCTCCTTTCCCAGAGACAGACGGACTCTCTCTGATTCTCTGTCCCTGACTTTCTCAATCTCTGCGAGTCTTTAAAGGGGAGACGCCCCCTTTTTTTCTTCAGCTTCTTCCCTACGCTTCTGCAGCTCCCATTGTAAAAGCAAAAATCCTAATCTTTCCGCACACTCTTCTTTTGTACTGCTGAGGAAAGGATTTAACCCTCTCCTCCCTGCCGGGGCTCCGGCCTCTCCCGGTGCTGTCTGCTCAGGGGCCCTGCCTTGTTTTTCTAACTTTCTTCCAACAGCTCTCTCCTAACTGCCTCTCTGGTGGGTAATGTGGACGTTTTGGGGAAGCAACTGAGACTGCTCTGATGTAGCCTAGGTCTGCGGCAAGAAGTCAGCTCTTTTCAGTCAAAAGTGGGGATTTGAAAGATTGAGTAAAGATGGACAGGCAGTAAAATAAGTGTACAGTTTTTGCTCGTTTATATGATATTTTCATTTATGTGACATGTGTTTAACATTACAGCTTTGAGGGAGCTGGGGATTTAGCTCAGCGGCAAAGCGCCTGTCTGGCAAGCACAAGGTCGTGAGTTCGATTCCTGGTACGGGAAGAAAAACGAAAAAAAAACCACAACAAAACATTACAGCTTTGAATTAGCACAGCAGATTTACCTCTGCTATTTGTAGGACATCCCTTTAGAGAGAAATAAAAAAGCCCACAGAGGCTAGGCAACCTGTCCAAGGGCACACAGCTGTGATGTAATAGAGATAAGAGAGGAACACAGGTGTGTTCTCTGCCGGTAAAGATACAATACGCCATCACACTGATAGCATGAAAAAAAGATGGAAAAACGCAACATTAGGAGCTGAGGCAGGAGGATCCCAGGTTCAAACCAAGCATGGGTAATTTATTAAGACCCTATCGCAAAATACAAGACAAAAAAAGGTCAAGGGTGGCGCTCAGAGTGAAGAACTTCAGTCTTCAGTACCGCAAAACACAAAAATGAAACAAACAAAAAATGATTGAGCTCAATGATTTCATCTACAATAGCAACCAGATCAGTGGCTTCACATCTCTCTCAGTCCTGCCCGGTTCCCATAGACAAGGGGTCGCACCTGAGAATATGGCCGATGAGTTCCTTGGTTTCCCAGGCAAAACCTGTAAGGAGGCACTTTTAGCTGAATATAAAGGAGCTTTCCAATAGTGTAAAAGACTAGTGATTTGTGATCTCTCCTGAATATGTTCACATAGGGGCTAAGTAATTGTCAAAGAGTCTCTGTAAAGGATTTTCTTCTGGATATGAAAGATTTATTGTGGATATGAAAGTGGACCTCTAAGCATTTCCCCATCTTCACTGGGCTGCAGGAGTAGCTCAGGGGTAGAGCACTTGCCCAACATGCATGAGGCCTTGGACTCAATCCCCAGCACCAAAATGCACAAACAAGCCTACTCTATCTCTGCAAATACCATTTGACAAACCACCAGATATCTATCTCCAGCTCAGCCTGCACACTAAGGTTCATTTTATTGTTCTTCAGCTTCTTTTTCTTTTCTTTACTGAGTTCTGGGGATCAAATTGTTCTTTAACTCTTGACTATGCTGTTCTTGCCTGAATTAGAGTAATACTGGGCTACCGGGCACAGGCAATGCCAGACATGTCCTCTCTTTTAGCTCTAATGACCGGCTTCCAACTTCTTTTAACTTTATGCACCTTTACTTTGCAGGCTAAAGTGAGAGCACCTGAAACATTATCAGTTGGAAAAGGAGTTATTTTCCCTCTTTAAGTTTAGTGATGTAAATCTCTGATGCTGTGTCTTCAGAGAAAAAGCAAAACAAAGCTCACAGTGTGGGGGACACAGTGGAAGGTTTTGCATTTCTTCTCTTCTGCAGGTCCAGGATAGGAGAGGAAGACAATAGATGCTTCTGTTAGTAACTGAGGCAGGTTTCCCACTATTTTTTTTCTTTGGTGCTGGGGACTGAACCCAGAACTTCAAAGAGGGTAGGCAAATAGTCCACCTCTGAGCTACACTTATGTGTGTAGGTATCCACTTCTGAAGAGATTTGAGAAGCTCCGCTTTGGAGTTCACACATTGATTAGTTTTCCAGATCTTTGATGTCAGGACACTGGATGGCTCCCTCACCTTCCACCCTTGGAATTCTTGTTCCTAACGTTGTCTAATTAGTTATGTTAGTTTTTCTGTGTAGACAAGTGCCATTATTAAGAGAAATGGGGATATTGAATCCAGGTAAACTTCCAAGTCCTCCATGGAATAGACTGGACTCTTACCCTGTCGTCTCACTCTTCCCGTCACTTATATGCTTTGTGAGGAAAAGTAAAGGCGAGAAGAAACATAGCTTTCTGCTTTTCTCAGGAGTCCGTGAACTCTCTAAGGGGCAGACTTGGGGGTCCTGTGTCGCTTTCCTGAGTCCCGGCTGCCTTCATCTTGTCCTGCTTCTCCTCCCTCCTCCTTACCAGTTGCACTGTGAAAGGAAGGGCTCTTCCCCTCCTCTCCTTTCTTCCGCCCTCCCCCGTTACCATTTTTTCCCTTTTACCTCTCCGCTGTGGCCTCTTGACCTCCCCACAGAGTTACAAAAGTAGAATCCTTGAAGAGATGCTGCTGTGGGAATGTTAATGAGCCTTTCCCACAAAGGGGCAAAGACTTTACTTCACTGAGTTGGAAAAAAGCCCCTTTGAAAAGGGGCTTCTGTGTGTGGTGAAGTGAAGAGGGGAGAGGAAGGAGAGCGGGAGGGAGAAGGAGAAAAGGAGAGGGAGAGGGAGAGGACAAGAGAATCACGCGGGGTGGGGGAGATCCAACACCAGCACATATTAGAACAGCAGTTTTCTTCATTATTAGAAAATGTGCCATGTTCTTTTGACCCTGTAACCTAAGGGCTTAATTCCCAAGAAACAGAAGAAGCACTCAAGGGCGTTGGAGATAACAAAAGCTAGGAAAAAAGAACCTATCCTGCCTATCCTGTACCTCCAATTCCTTCTTAGGATTTTTTCTAATTTTAGCAGTATTTCTTATTTTGGCTTTATTGGCCATTGGTTTCTTTCACTTCTTTTTCTTTCTTTCTTTCTTTCTTTCTTTCTTTCTTTCTTTCTTTCTTTCTTTCTTTCTTTGTCTTTTTGAGACAGGGTCTTGCTGTGCAGTTCGGGTTGGTCTTAAGCTCACTTTGTAGCCCAGGCTGGTCTCCAACTCACAATGATCCTCCTGCCTCAGCCTCTGGAATGCTGTAATCACAGGCGTGTGCCACCACACCCAGCGGCCATTGGTTTCTCTGTTCAGTAGCTAATAGTACCATCTAGGTGTTTATACCATGGAGCATTGGGGAGGAGCCAGGGGTGGGAATTCCCAGAGCTCTGTGCTCTCCTTTAGACCAGTGTTTCTCAAGCACTGTATTCACCTGAGGAGTTCATGGAGATTCATATTCCTGATGCCTCCCCAACAAATAATTAGACTCTCTGGTCTAAGACCTAAGATTTTAAAGCAATCTATTAATTGAGTCTTTTGCAGAGTCAAGTTTGAAACAATCGGATTTGCCTGGTGATTTCTAAACTAGGCTTTAAGTTCTGAGGGGCCTGAGGAGTGGTTGCAGGAACAACTCCTGTACACATGAGCACAGCCCCACTGTTGCTGCATAAGGAACCTGCTTCTCAAGTGCATGTGCGACAGTTGGCTAAATGCTTGCAGAAGTTAATGCACTTAAGTGTTTTTAAACTGAGAGTCCGTTTTGCCCTAAAAGTAAAACTAGAGTCAAGGGGGGTTCCAGGAAACATTTTGCCACTTCATCCACTGCTGCTTCTCTCAGGACAGAACTCTTCTCTCAGCCTTCCGCTTTTCCTAGTGTGTTTACAGACATGCAAGCATTGTGGAGCCATTTCTTTTGCCTTTCAAAGCGTTAGAGTCCTTGATTTAACTGCAAGAGAATTGAACTAGGAGTCTAGAACACGTAACTTTTCTGTTGGTAACGTAGTGGTGTGTTAGTGGTGGTGTATTCAGTGTATCAGGCCCTTTGAATACATGATCTTAACTTGTCCTTAAAGTAACTTTGCTAAGAAGCGCTAGTGCTGTAATCCCCGTGTCACACATTCAGAACACCCCAGTTCACAAGTGAGGAAACGGAGGCTGAGAGAGGCAAAATGGCTTTCTTGCTCAAGATCTCATAGTTGGCAAGGTTGAAATTTCCCTAAAAAATGCCTGATTGAACAGTCTGGTTTCCCACCACGAAGTGACACTTTATGGCTATCCTGCTGACGTCTGCCTCTTTTATGGGCCTCACTTTCTGGCTAAAGATCTGGAGGATGATTTAAAGTTTCAAATTCCAGAGAAAATCTGAAGACTTACAAGTAACTATGGACAGCAACAATGGTTCTTAGAATTACGCGTGCAGTCACACGTCCTTTGTCTTGCCAGCAGTCAGGAAATAAGGCAGTAAAGAGTAGGGGAACGTGCCCTTTGCAAAAAACTAAATAAGAACGTGCAAGCAGTCCCTGGTCTGATGAGAGACCTCTGCCAGCCTCTTTCAGGTGGCAGTTACCATGGTGTCTAGGGGAGAGGGAAGGAGTGGAGATCAAGGAGGCTGTTTCACAATAAATCTTGTCCCGTGTTTCTTTTCAGAGTCCATTCTGTTAAAGAAGGCAGGAATTTAAATACTTCTAAGAGGAAGGGCAGACAGTGTTCTTTTTGCTTTTCTTCATTTTGTTTCTCCATTCTCATTGCTCATATCCAGGGAAAACCACTGCTCCTGCTATGTGCAGGAGAGGCTGGAGTTTATACAGAGGACAAGGTAGTGGAACAGGAATGGGAGGTTGTGGGGGAGGGACTGAGGACCTGCGGCCAGTGGAGCAGGCTAGGGTGGGGGTGAGGGAGAGAGAGAGAGAGAGAGAGAGAGAGAGAGAGAGAGAGAGAG